AACCAATTAACCTCTTAGTAGATAAAGACAAATCCCTACTGCATGTTGTGCAGTACATAACTTTATTTACTAGGAGCATACTTTAGATAGGTTATTCGTTGAGTATTCAGATGAGAATATGGTGTTCGAAGATATACCAGAGTCAAGTCAAGTACAAGAAGCCATACATTTTGATGCTAGTCAATAGCTCAAATGGGACAAGTTAGGGATCAAATTGCTATACAAATGTGGAATGACTACTCAAGACCTCGTACATGACTCCGTGGATTTTTTTTTTATGTAGTTCAGTATCTGCTTATTTTGTCATGACGCGTAACCTTCTAATCATATCTTCATCAAATGTAATGTAAGTTGTGTTTTTAATATCTTGAAAAAAAATTTTACGTTTCACCAATTTTAAATTCTATATGTTATTTAATACTATATTAACATTAAACAAAATTTATTGAATAATCAGTTTTTTTGATTAAAATATTCTTAAAAAATTCTCAGAATTTCAAAATAAACGCGTTTTCCATATGTTTTCGAAAATAGTTTTTCAAAATGACAAAAAAAACGCATTTTCAGAAATTTCAAAACAGACACTCAAAACACAAAACACTAAACGAATTCAAAACTCAAAATACAAAACTGAAATACAAAGAGAACGGCCCCTTATACTTCAGATTTTCAGTCTCAACTTGAGAACCATTTTTGGTATAGGAAATGTTCGAATTGGAAAAATTATAATTCAAGAAGATTTGTATCCCTTTGAGTTATCTTTCCAACGCATTTTGAATAACCCCTATCAAATATCGGGAGAGAAAGATATGACCAAAATACTGAATACTGTCCGATAGGAAAAAAACCTATACTTATGCGACCTCATATGTCTAATTTTATGCAACCGAATTATGCATTTCAGGGCCAAAATTGATGGTTGGACGTCTTTCTATATGACCACTTATAAATGTACTATGTGGCCATATAGTACAAACTTTTGGTTAGATTTTGTTTCATTTTTCAATTGAAACTCTACATTGGTAACAAGATTTTAGGCATCTTATATATACCAAACTCGACCAGAACACGGGGAGAGACTTCCTTTTGACCTAAAAAACATATGTACAAGGGTTTTGAGAGGAGAAAAAGAGCAATAACGCAAAGAACAACACCATGAAGCGAATATTAAAGTCAAGAATTCAATTAGTGATGTCATTTCGTTATTGTTTTTCTGATTTTCTTCTTTACATCATACTAGGCTAGGTTAATTCTATACTAGGAGATCGATGAACAATGTAGTATGATGTTTAATTCTTTGTTTTACAATTATTGACATCAAAAACACGTTTTGGATATTTGAATGATTTATATGATTGTATTTTCTCCATAATTATTGTGCTCGTAATTGTATGAGTGTGGTGAATTATTTCATGCATTCGAAAGAAAGAAAATAGATTCAACGGGATATAAATCATTATAGGGTCTGGTGGAGAATATAATACACCGCTATGCCTTGTGTGAGTCATTAAGTGTTTACAAAAATTTATGCATTCTTGTATGTGCGACCATCATAGCGATACAGTCAGGTTACATATGAGAATATGTTTGATTATACTCGAGAGAGACTATTAAATAAATTAGTAACATTGATTCGTCAATATTTCAATCGTGTGTCAAAGTGTAAAACTAGGCTTAAAAAGATTATTACTTAAGGATTCGTGATCCTAGTACATTCATCATACATTNCATTCATCATACATTCGAAAACTTCAAATTACATTTAACTCTATTTGCATTCCGTTTAGTTAAATCATTCATCATTGCATAATTAGATTAATTTAATTGTAATTTCATTACAACAACACTTCAATTTTATTGTTTCGGTTAACGTCACAGCAATAGGAATTGAACTAATCAATTTTCGTGGGACGATACTCGGACTCAATAAGTCCACTTTAATAATCATTAACAAACTGTACACTTGTGGTTGTTTTAATCCGAAAGATATTTTCGTGAACGCATTACTTTTGTCCAAATAAAACTACACAAACATAAATTTGAAACACTTGTCAATAGTTGATGACTCTAGACTTTTAGTAGTTATTTTTTTGGGAGTGGGGGGGATAAAGGCCATTTACAGCACAATTGATGTATTCATGAGACTAGGGGTTTTTTGTTAAGCCATACTAAAATTAAAGGGGTGTTTACACAAATACCCTATATTTTAAATTGGATTAAATGGTTATTAGGCATATTTGAATTTACAAAATACGCTCAAACCTAAAAATCATGACTACCACAAAAACTAGGCTCTGAACTGGAAAAATCAAAGGAAAATTGGAAGAAGAAATAAGAAATCTTCCACAAAGTTGTTCATTATTCAAAATTTTGAAAAAGATTAAGGCTACTTCAACATTGAAATCTTTGAAAAGAGATCGAGAAAATTTTCCTGTAATACACAAACAAAATTACAGGTTTCTTTTATATTTATGGCTTCTTATTTAATTGGTTCCCCAATTTTGTTATTTTAAATTTGTTTAGTATTCTCTTTGCATAGATTACGAAAATGACAATCGTAATTATCAATTTTCAATTAAATAATTAACATCTATGAAGTTTCTCTTTGATGATTTTATTATTGTGATTGGAAACATATTTGAAAATAATATTGTTGAACTTCAGATGAAATGGATCGTGTCAATACATATGAAAAATTACCTTTGAATCAATTAAATCATTGATACATGCAAAGTGTTTGACTAAAGGGGTATGTGAATTCTGTCACTTTTTTTTTTATGACTAATAAAAAAGTTATACTATATCCTTAGAGCAATTATTTAGATGTATACGTGTGTATTTTTGAAAATTTGAACATACAAATTCAAGCCATATTTTATGGTAATACATATGAAAAATAAAACTTTAAATCAATTAAATCATTGATACATGCAAGGTGTTTGACAAAAGGAGAATGTGAATTTTGTCACTTTTTTATGAAAAAGTTATACTATATCCTTGAAGCAATTAACTAAATGCATACGTGTGCATTTTTGGAAATTTGAACTTACAATTCAAGCCATGTTTTATGATAATACATATGAAAAAGAAAATTTTGAATCAATTAAATCATTGATGCATGCAAAGAGTTTGATACAAGGAGAATATGAATTCTAACACTTTCCTATAAAAAAAATGACATTCTTCTAAAAAAAAAAGTCACGGTATCTTACAGGAACAATTAACTAGATGCATACGTGTGCTTATTAGAAATTTAAATGTATGAATTCAAACCCTGTTTTATGTTAATACGTATGACAAAGAAAATTTTGAATCAATTACATTGATACATGCAACGTGTTTGCTCAATTAAAATATGAATTCTGTCACTTTTCTATGAAAAAAATCGCACTGTCATTTTTCTCTAAAAAAAGTGACAATATCTCATTGGAGCAATAAATTAGATGCATATATGTGCATTTTTGAAAATTTAATATATGAATTCAAACTTTCTTTTATGTTAATATATATGAAAATTGTGCAACTTTTTCTAGAAAAAGTTCCAATATTTCATTCAAACAATTAATTAGATGCATACATGCTTGTTTTTGGAAATTTAAATGAGTAATGATATTCATAGTCGCTCACTGTAGTAGTCGCCATATGTGGCACAGACATGACATGTAGTTATTTGATGCATTAATGTAATAGTTTTTTGACCACATTAATGTATTAAATATACACTTGACATGTGTGTGCCACATAGGGCGACTGCTGCACTGAGCGACTACAAATAACATTATTCAATTTAAATATACTAATTGAAATCTTTTTTTAATATTACATTCAATTTATATTTACTTGAATCAATGCAATTGATGCATCCAAAGTGTTGTGAAAATGAGAGTGTGAAAAAGTGATATTCTATCACTTTTCTAAGAAAAGTCGCAGTATCTCATTGAAACAATTAACTGGATACATACATGTGTGTTTTTTAAAATTAAATTATACGAATTCAAACTTTATTTTAATATTGCATTCAATTCATATATTTTTTAAATTAATTCAATTGATGCATCCAAAGTAATTGGGAAAATGAAAATGTGAAAAAATGTCAATTTGAAAAAAATGACATTATCTGCAAAAGTCGCAATATCTTAGTTGAGCAATTAATTAGATGCATACATGTATTTTTGAAAATTTAAATATACAAATTCAAACCTTATTTTAACATTGCATTCAATTCATATTTATTTGAATCAATTTAATCGATGCATTTAAGATTTTTGCAAAAATGAGAATGTGAAAAGTGAAGAAAATTAGATATTTTTCTTTTAATTTATGTTTTTGCGTTATCAGTTTTAGCTTATTTACGTGCAATATTATTCATTGATTGATTGATGTTTTTGGTATCGTTTTGAAGTACTCACGACAAATTTTGAAATACATATTTCGAATTTAAAAATTGATAAATGATGAGTTCATAATAACATGTCAAAAATGATGCAAGAAATGAAGTTCATATTTACGGTTTATTTTGCGTTCAATAATTGATGCAAAATAATTTTCGGCATTTAAACTTCGTCCATAACATATTTATCATGGCTGCATTACAAGCTTTCTAAAAGATTTTAAATCGCTCAAAATTGATAATTGTAGCAAAAAATACAGTATCAAACGAAGACATTTTAATAATAAAAAATTTAAAAAGTAAAAAATATTATATGGGAAGTGCAGCCATTAGTCTTTGGAACGATTTTGCTGACTCTCAAGTGTTTTATATTTGTAGTGCACGTAATAATTACGATTATTAAAATTTTAATTTGGTTTAAGTTTATTAATCAATTTGTTTTCTTTTTAGAGTACTATAACTATATCTAATTTCTCAAAATTAAAGCCATGAGAAAATGAAGGCCCCAACTTATACTCCATAATATTTCTCTATTCTTCTTTGCCCCGAGCCCTAATTTCATCGGCAAAACCCCCATTTTTACTATAATCACAACACAATAAGCTCAAATATGGATCAATCATGGCGCCCCAGAGTACCATCAGGTAATCTCTGCCCAGTCTGCTCGAATTCACACTTCCCATTTTGTCCTCCACCTTTCCCAGATTTCACCAGACCACCCCCTAAATTTCCGCCTCCAACACCGCAATTCTCAGATCAATTCTACCAACGACCCCCGCCCCCACGACCACCGCCACTACAGCCGCCGTATGATCCATTTGTTGATCATCGTGGCTCCACAATGAATGCTTATCCACCGCCGCTGGTGCCGCATAGGATATGGAATGATAATTCTAATTTTAATGGTGACACGTATGGGAGTACTCGTCTTGAGTATGATTTTAATAATGGTCAGGTTGGTGTCAAGAGAATGAGATTCGAGGATTCGGGCCCTCCTCCCGGCCCGTATATGAGTGAACAACAAGTCAATTCATTGCGGCTTTTTGCTGAGGATGAGAGGAGATTGAAGTTGATACATGATCATGGAGCAGCGAGTCAGAATTTAGGTACTAATTACGATGGTGGGTATAAGATTTCCAGTAATAATTTTGAGAGGAGTGGTTTTCGCGTTCTGGGTGTTGGGCGTTTTGAGAGGGATGGGGGAGTTAATTGTCAAGAAAGTGATTCAAATATGAAGCGAAAACGTGAAGAAGAGCATTTTGAGTATCAGTATAGCGAAAATAATAAGAATCCGTACAACCGAACAGGGAGTGATTTGATTCTGAGTCGCGCATATGGAACTAATGGTCATGAAGCTGATGGTTACATTGATGCGTTATGTAAAGAGCAGAGACAGGGAGGCCGGCAGTTGAACAATCAGTTTCCACAGCCCTATAATATGCAACAACATTTAATGGAGCCAAAACCTACCAATTATAGATTATCAAATTTGAGTGGGATGAATATGGGTCCGATGCAGGATTCTCTGGTGTTTAGTGGCCAACCTCCACTTCCCAATTCACCACCGCCACCCCTTCCCATGGAACAGCCGGTGTGCCATTTGTCAGAGCATGTCGTTTCATCGCCTTCAGCAGGAATGAGCTCTTTGTTTCCAATTCCAGCTGAATCTGCAGCCTCTTTGCTGTCATCAAACACTGCAGTTTCTGAAGCAATCACCTCAGCGCCAGTGTATTATCCAAGTAAAGCCAGCCTGAATTCAAGTGGTTATCCAAATGAGGTATGCTAGAGAGCACTTTATTCTTTCTGCCATCCACTCTGGTCATTGCATTAAAGTGTTATTGAAATAATGCCGAGTGCATTCAACCAACTCAAGTTTTTTGAAATAATGCCGAATTTTTCTTATTGTTCAGCATAATGGTTATGTAATTAGACTCAACTCAAGTGCTTTTTGCTTGCGTGCTGATTGAGTAATATAGGGAAGGAACTTAATGACATTCCATGCAGACTGAATTACTTGAAAGAATAAGTTGGAATCATGTGACTATTGAGTGCCTATTTGCTTTTGGTTGGAACTCTAAAGAAAATTTCTCAGACTTCTGCATTAAATGTTCCTATATTGTTATAATTTGATTATCCTTTTCTATTCTGGCATTACTTTGCAGTACACTATATAGATTCTGGTAATTGTGCTTTACAGGAAGTTCGTGCAATGCGGACGGCTCCATCCAAGACAAAATCAGTAGAAAGCGAACAGTTTCCTCCTCGGCGACCCTCTTCTGACAAACCGAAAGTTATTGATGCCTCATACATTTTGAAGTATCCACATCGTGCTACCCGCCCTGATCATATTGTTATAATTCTCCGAGGACTTCCAGGTTTTTTCCCTCTTTAGTCCCCCTTTTTTTTTGTAAATTTTCATCATGCTACACCCCCAAGCCATCTACAAAATGATATCATTGTTTCTGGGAATGAGTTTGAGCTTGTTCAAAGCTGACTAATTATTTATTATTCGGAATAAAATGCCATTAACTTTGAACTTTGTATTCGAGAAACTTGGTACCTCTTGTACATGTATTGACTGTGTACACGACTTGAAATGAATAGACTTCAAACATGGTCCACAGGAACTATAACAGTAGTCTTGCTGTTTGAAAAGAATTTGAAAATTGTCACAAAATTAGTTGCACTTGTGACTAGTTCGACATGCTACAGAGATTTTAATGTGTGATTAGCTGGGACTATGGAAAGTTTGGTGTAGTTACATATACCAGTATATGCTTATTGATTTAGCATAATTTCTATCAGTTAATTTTTAGTACTCTTGTAGACAGATTAATCTAACGTGAGGTAAGATCATTGTGAAAAATCTAGTTAAATAGCTTGGGTTTTGGATTTAATTTATTTAGAATTCTGAGATTTATCAACTTGCTTAAGCAAAAAAAGGATTGGCATATTTTCTTTACGAGTAACTTACACGATATTAAAATATCATTTATAAAGCTCTTAATCGTGTCTTTTGAGACTTGAATGACTATTCAGATCTGCACCCTTCGAATATTTCATCTTTTCAAACATCTCTTTATATTTATAAAGCCATATCTTGCGAGTTTGTAGGGTAAGGATTGGATTTCATTTGCAGTTACAAGACCTGAATTTTATGTAATAAATGCAAGAGGCTATCTCTTATATATACCATTTTCGAGCAGTTACAGTATTTTGTTATACTTTCAGGCAGTGGAAAGAGTTACTTGGCAAAATTGCTACGCGATCTTGAGGTTGAAAATGGTGGCAGTGCTCCAAGGATTCATTCCATGGATGATTATTTCATGACTGAAGTTGAAAAGGTACTTATACGACTTCTGATTACTCATGCTCTAAATGAGTATTTTGATCTCTCATCTAGAAAAGAAGTTTTCAGTGGAAAGTGGGTGGTTTTCTCACAGCCAATTGTAGAAGATATGCATGAACAGGATTTAAGCACTATTTTCTCATTAATAGGCTGAGGAGAGCGACGGTTCAAAACCTTCTGGTTCTGTTCGTGGGAAAAAAGCAGTCACGAAGAAGGTCATGGAGTACTGTTATGAACCGGAAATGGAGGAGGTGACAAAAAATATCTCATACTTCTGCTATATTTATTAACTTAATATATATCTGCAGTGCATATTTAGCTACCTTAGCTTTTAGTCCGGAAGATTTATTTTTACATTTTTTTGGTAAAAACTAGTAGATGCTGCGTAAGATGAGCATAGAAGGGATCTTATAATATTGGGATAATGCTATGTAGCATCACTGATATATAGCACTAGTCTACATGGAAACACACGTGGCATTAAACTATGTGTGCAATTAAATGTAGCGATATGGGACCTATTATTTAATGCCATGTAGACTTCTACATAGCATTACTCATAATATTGTAAACTTAATTCTGATGATCCATATAATTTTACTAACTTTATGGATTTGAAATGAGAGAAACTAATAGCCCAAATCTATCAGGAAATTTTAAAAAGACTTAATTGGGTATTGATGGATGAGCCTCGATGTGCTTTGAGGCATAAACCTCTAGACAAAACAGTAAAATAAAAAAAATGAAAAATGAAAATGAAAAAGCAAAAAGGTATGTGCATGATAAACCATGTACCATTTTAAAATTTTAGCCCCTGTTTTGCCCGATTCTCTAAATCACATTTTTTCTCAAATTCGTTTTCTACCTCACATCTCATAAAACTCACAACTTAAATAAGCTTTTTGAGCACACATATCATCTAATTCTTATCAAAATCTACTAAAAATCTATTTTTTAACTAAACTTAACGGGCTTAATAATAAAACTAATGAACAAAATCAAAGTCTAACTTGATAACATGCGTAAAGTTGATTAATAAAATGAAAAATAATAAATTTTCAAATTAGTATTCACGTAACAAAATTGTAATCCATTACTAGAAGTAGAGACAACTCAGACATTTTTATTTTATACTACTAATGTAGCCAATGTTTGAGCTCCATTTTTCCCAAAATTCATTTTTTTCAAAACTCATTTTCAACCACAAGTTTTCCCTAAAATAATTTTACACACAAACCCAAAATTTTTTCTATTTTTTAATCATGCATTCTCCAAAAAAATCACTATTTCCAAAACCTATTTTCCTCAAAAAAGGGGGCTCAAATAGGGAGATAATCTTTAAGGAAATCAATAACAAATCATCCTTGTCTCTAAGTTTCTTCTCATTCTTTGTCATAATCTCCTTCCCCTTTTCCTTCCTGATAGGTAGGAAAAACAAAATCAAGGAAGCTGTAAAGCATTTTAGGTTGTAAGGAAATAGACTGAAAGGTAAAGGCAGTAATTAAATGTTTGGAATATGCAAGATTTGTGGGCAAACACTTTAGTCGACTTGATGCTCAGGCTTGGGGAAGAAGCCTCAAAAAAGTCTCATAAGCTGCGGTTTTTGAGGCATTCTATGAAAACCTCACATGAGGCTGAATTTGTGATTGAGCCTCATATAGTTTTCTCAAGCAATGTACCAGGAAACCTATTATGAAAGTGATTCATCTGTCATGCCTTTCCTAACCAGTGGTGGCATGGGATTAGTTAGGACAATGAACAATGTTCGAAGATGACTTGTCTGACAATGCTCTAGTCGTACTTGAACTATGAAAGCTCTTTTCTCCCCAGCATTAATCTTAGTAGAGCCTTACATTTGAATGTTTAAGATAGAAATTGTTTATTTTGATGAAGTTATCGTGCTTTAATATTCATCTTTTTATTTTATTTTTATCTTGGTCTAGTTCTGGTCCAATTTAATCATTTTCTAGTATTAACATTATTTCTATCTATTAGGCATATCGATCGAGCATGTTGAAGGCATTTAAGAAGACCCTTGATGAAGGGGTTTTCTCCTTTGTAATTGGTATGATTTTCTTGTGGAGAAAATGCTATTTACTTTCCAAACTATAAGGCTTATTTCTTGTTTAAATGTTTACTTCTTTCTCCTTTCATCCATACTCTTGAAACCATTGATGGGATGATGAGCACTATTGACTTCTTATTCTTCTTCTCCTTTTTTTTCTTGAAATGAAATGACGTGCACTTTGATTAAAGGTTCTGTTATTATTCACTGATATTCCTGATTCTGTTTAGTGTCATGGGTCAGTGTCCGTTTGTTTATCTTTCTTCTCATAGCGTTAGTGGTGGAGCTTAAGATTCCACCTTTGAAATTGAACTTATGTTTATGATAGATGTCCGAAAGAACAAATTATATAATTATGTTAGAAGCTAGATTGCCCCCTAAAAAGGTTCAAACGCGGTCTTATTATAGATTAAAGTAATGATGCAGTGCTTCTGCACTGCCTTCAGTTTGACTAACTACAGATGCAGTTTTGTTCGGAAATTGACCCTTTTCTTGCTGGTATTTGTGCCTCGTCTTAGTGGATGACCGCAATCTGCGGGTAGCTGATTTTGCTCAGTTTTGGGCAATTGCAAAGGTATACCCTCTATTCTCTCTTATATGGCCTCTGCATGTGTTCTTGTTCTCTGAGGATACTTTGGAAGTCCATTGACTTTTGGTCTTGTTATGTAGGCGTTTATTATGGTACTGCTTGCAGTGTAGGCTGTTAATGCTTGTTTGCTGTCTCTCTCCAAGTTATCCATGTAAAGCTGAATCTGAAATAGATAATTGAATATATACATAATTAAAGAACTATGTCTATCAATTCCATTTTCTGTCTTCTGTTTTAGGTCGTTCATACTTCACATATTTCTAAAACCTGACGTTCTGTATTTGTATATAAAATAGCTTCTTTTAAATTACCCCAAATGTACAGTGCATTAGGACGTTGAACAGATGAAGCCATTCAATTTCCATGATATTTCTTGATATTCTATCTTTGATTTTGTCACCCTTTATTCTGTTTTCTTGGTGTGGTTTGCTATTTAAATTCAAACGTTAAGGAACCTTTTCTGATTTTGTGTACAACCGTTCACTTTGCTTATTGCTATTTTAGTGAAAAGAGGAACAGTAGTATCATTTTGAGGTTGCCTCTCAACGACTAGTTAATCTATATTGGTTATGACTTGTGATGTATCTCTTTCCATTGTTGTACATTAATTTTTGTGAACACATTTCAAATATACTCTAATGGAAAACTTCTACTTTTACATTTTGTGTTTTCATGGTACTACGATAAATGTTCTCTCACTGCTTTCCATCCACTTTACACTGTATTATGTAACCTTTTGCATCAGACAGCGCAGAGAGGTTATTTGAGAAAATTGTATTGCAACACATTGACCCAAATGAAATATATTAAGAAAAGGAATGTGGGTATTTATAGAAAGAGCAAAAGACATTCTAAAACTGCTCTGTATGTGGAAGTTACTGGCCATATGGATCTCCTTTCATGCGTAAAATAAGATTCGTTTTCCTTGATTGGCGTGGCTTGCCTTGGATTATTTACTTTCTGTTTTTGTGAAGTTGTGGTGGTCACGAAGTTGCAATAGCTTTGAATATTCCACGGCATTGGGGTTGATTAAATTTATGTTTGTAGTGTAAGCTTGATTTTATGCGGTTGAGAGTATTCATTTGACTTTATGATATTCAAACATTTTAGGAAAAAGGTTTGGACAATTAGTGTCACCTCGAGTGATGATAAATAATTTCTTTTCTCCTTGTATATATTACGTTGTCATCACATTTCAAGGCATTTGATTGATATCTATTGAGTTTTGATCCTCATATGAGTATTGTCATTTTGATCTAACTTGGATGATATGTTCCCTTGAAACATGCATAACACTTGGCTTTCTGATTCTTGCAAACTGATAGTTCTGAATGATATTATGGATTCATTTATTTTTTATAATGCCCATATCAAGCCGTATTGTGACCATTAGGATTGTCTGATGTTGATGTATGTGAATTTATTTTTGTGCAAGTCATGTTTTTTACTGTTGTCACATATTGGTGCGTAATGTTACCTCCCATTCTGTCATTTGATCTGCAAACTATTGCTTCAGATGAAATTTTATATAGATTGGCTGGATTGGGAAAACTTTCCTTTGTTTGGTCATCCCTCTTTCCCACAAATAAGTGAGATTTGTACTTCTATGATTTGCATATATATTCTGGTTTTATTATTCATTTAGACGGTTTTAGATACATAAATGGAAACATATGCAAAATTAGAACATATATAAAATTAGGACATGCAAAAACCTTCCCAAAGGAGCATGTCCGAAGACACATTCCTTGCAACTTTTGCTGCATCTGCATTTCCTCTCTTCCTCTTGTTTATATCTCATTTTTGCTATTCTCTTGAAAGCTCACAGCTCATTCATGTGGGTTAGTCAATGATTGCCTGCTTAACCCATCGTTTATTCATTTAACTGCAGAGATCTGGGTACGAGGTTTACATACTTGAAGCCACATACAAGGACCCAGTGGTGAGTTTCTCAATATGACTTTATTTCTTTGTTATGAAATTCATTGAAGGTGCAATAGGACTATGGAGTGTGACAGGTGGTCTTTGTTGTTTCATGGTTTTAACGCACACGCACGTGCACGCGTGCTCAGGGAGGGAGAGAGAGATACTAGGATGCTATCTTATGGACTATTCTTGTTCTTTTTGGATTTCAGGGCTGTGCTGCAAGGAATGTGCATGGTTTCTCCCATGGTGACATACAAAAAATGGCTAATCAATGGGAAGAAGCTCCATCTCTGTATATGAAGCTAGACATCAAGGTATTCATATTTTATTTTCCTTTTACTGTTCTCATAGCTGTTATCTTGTCGAGATTTTTGAGACAGATGGCTAATCTAATTTCAATGCTTGAATTCTAACATTAAATGTTCAATGACATGGCAGTCGTTACTCCATGGAGATGATTTGGAGCAAAATGGCATCCAAGAGGTAAATTATTATGTTAATGGTTGTTAGATTCCTTATCTCCAGACCTGAATGAGATATTTGAGTAATAATGGAGGACAGGAAGTTCCCCTCATGGGAAGAGAAAATTAAACTCAGAGTAACAAGAAGCACGTATTCCCTGATTACAAGGCTCAACCAGTGTTTTCTTAAGTGCCATAATTTAGAGGCTTATATAAGAAACGTTCAATAAAAAGATTATTTATTTGCTTGTCAATTATATTGACTCTCGCATGGCATCCTGGTTGATGTTTTTCTCGTGGTATGTCTATCATGCTGCAACTAAAAAAATTATCATATTCTAGATTACATGCTTAAGAGAGTTATTCTGTTCATTACATTTTGTGGTATAATTTGTGAAGGCCATGTTGTATGATTATTTCCTAGTCTACTGCAGAAAGTGTAATGCTTGAGGTACTTGGAATACAAAACTCTGTGACTGCTTTATTTGTTGGTACTGATTCATGCTTGTCATATCTGATCTGCCAGGTTGACATGGATACAGAAGATGTTGATCATAATTGTGATCTCTCTGGTTCACAAGAAAGAAATGTTGAAAATTTCGCAGGTTCTTCTAGAGAAGATCTTCCCTTTGATTGTATGTTTTCAACCTGTGTATCTTCCTTTTTTTTAAATCAAATGTTTTTTCTTTATCCATTCGTATGAAATGTTCAACGTTCTAGTGAAGAAAAATATTTTAAGCAAGTGATGTTTCTTTTGGTTGCACTGGCCAAAAACATGCTCACTTCCTTGTCATTTTGTGCTTCTTTGATGACCTTGTCTAAACGAGTTATGATATATATTTTGTTACTTTCTTTCACTTAATATTGAACATTAGGTCTTGGTGTGTGCCACTTGCCTGTACACCCATCGAAATCTCTCAGGGATAGTAATATCGTAAAATGGTGGTTTTTAATCTAACGATGACACTGTTCAAACAATTTGTTAAATTCAAATCCATCCATAGGGCCAGGCTTTGTTTAGATTGCTTAATTTATCTTTAATATGGTTCCTGCGAAATGTGAAATTTTAGGTTCATCGAAAGATGATCAGAAATGGGACACTGAGGAAGATCATCCTGTGGAGGAAGTCATAGAATTGCGAAAGAGTAAGTGGTCAAATGAGTTGGACGAGGATGACAAAAGGACAGAAGTGACCCGAGAAAATTTAAATGCTCTTTCTGGGTTGATTCAATCTTACAGCAAGGAAGGTAAATCTGTGCGGTGGGCCGATAAGGTATGACTAATCAACAAAATTACCCAGTTACTTCCTGTCATTGCGTACTTGATAATTCTCAAGATAATGAAGGCTATAATCCTCTAATCATACCAGGCTAGGTTTTGTGGGCTGGTTTCACAATCTGTCAACGTGTGTGATCATTGATACATAATAAATGAAAACTTTAGCTATGAGCATTATGCTTTAGATTCATTTTGCAGGTTGGCAGCAGTGGATTTTCGATAGGTGCAGTTAAAATGTCAAACATGTTATCTCTAGTAATTGGTCCTGGTGTTGGATACAACTTGGTGAGTTGCCGGGTATTATTATATTGTTATTTATTTGTTTTTTCAATTTGATTTTAATACTAAAAATACTCTTTAAGATATTGTAAATGTAAATTTTCTTTGCTGAATGACCTTAAATACATTGGTTGGGAGGGGTCCATTTGTTGCCATACGGGCATGTATTAGTCTTGAAAAACTAAGAATACTTCTCTCCGGTGATGTCAACTTATTCATGCATCGTTTTATGTATAGCTTATATGTTTTCACCGACTGCAGAAGTCAAATCCGTTGCCTGAAGAAGAAAAGCTGAGTTCCCAAAGACGTGGCGAATCGAAGAGGCAAAACATGTTCCAGGAACAATTACGTGCTGAGCGTGAGTCTTTCAAAGCTGTTTTCGACAAGAGGAGACAACGAATTGGCATACTAGACTTGGACGAAGAGTAACACTTGAGAAGACGCTAGTGAAACTTCAGAATCTTCTCGTGATGTTAGTTCTTCGTCCCTTTCCTTTGGAGTTTTGTCCATCTTCCATAAGTTAGTTGTATAATGTTATATTAGTCGAAGTATGAGCAAATTTGCAATCTAATGCGGGTAGGGACTGAGTCATTCTTTGTAACACCAAGGCTACTGGCATTATAAGTCAATACGATCTATATAAAATGAATTTTGGAAGCTACTGCTATATTGACTTAATTTGACAACTTATAGCATGTTTGGGAAGTATTTATAAAGGTTTAAATTATAAAATATTAATAGGTAGAAATGAAAGGTGGATTAGTGTAGTATTTATGGATCCCTCGAAATGTGTGAATAAAAAGTGACTCGAGTGTTTATAAACAATTAATAAACATGAGCCAAACATAGGCTTAGTGACATAGTAGGGGCTTAATCATGTTTTATGCACGCGGGTACTGACAGAGAATTGCAATGATTCCATTTATTATTGAATTTTCGACCTCGGGCAAGGTCGACTCACTACTAGGGGAAGCTGATAAGGAATAAGATGAAACAGAACCAATGACCAAACATATTTTAGAATATCAACCATTGCTAGGCTGACTGTATATATGTACGTCGAATCTGTGATGCAGTATATTGAGAAATATGTTAAGCATTGTAATTCAAATAGGGACATAATAATTTTATAGAAGAATGGGCAGAAAACGTTATGAATATCTTACTTGACTAGGTTGGGCATGCTTTGATGCCCCTATTCCCGACATGTTGCTGCTCGGGATCATGGAACTATCGCTCGAGAAGTATGTAAGCTGGTCGAAACATCATTAATATTTTACATAATAAGTTCACAATGATTACTCAATATGTTGTGTCTTGTGATTATGATTGCTTTCTCTGTATGCATGATTTATATTTTTTCGACTTTGAAGCAGACAGTGATGATTGGCCTTTTTGAATTTTGAGAAGAAAAAAGATATTGATCATGAGTTGTATTCATCTTCTAATCGTAGCGATCTTCTTAATTCATTGTCCACTGCATTTTACAACTCTACTGGAAATGAACAAGGAATCCACCCACCTAGTCTGGTTATACCATTACTCTTTTTTTTTTCTCTCTCGAGTCATTAACTGTTAAAACTCGAGGAAGATAGAGAGTTTGTTTGAACACTCTTCTTAGAGATTCTTAATTTTGAATTTTAATGTCTTGTCGTATTTGGTTTTACAATGTATTAAAAAATAATCAAGTTTGTAGTGTATTGATGTCGATCTAAGATTTTAAAATAATTGGAAGTAGTTAATTAATATTTTATTTTCTTTCATAATTTTGTATAATAATGTTATTGTCCATCCTCCGTTGTTAGATCCAATGTGGGCACTATATAATATTAGCCCATCATCCAATACAAGTTGACTCGGGTATGTCTGGCTATGCTTAAAAAACTAAAATTACTTATAAGTAACTCTATTTTCCAAATATATTTTGTCGAGCTTATTTTTAAATGTTACAACTTGTTGCACTCGAGTATTCATTGATATTTCAGTCGCATCGTTAAATTTTCTTCAAATAGACACTTGAATAATGGGGCGCTTTAAGCCAAGGGCAGTAAAAAATATCCAAAAAAAAGTGATTATCTGATTAAAAAAATAAAATAAAAAAATTGAACGATCTCCTCTTCGTCCTTAAGGCAGTTTGGATGACCTCCGTGCGACAAAAAATGAATCGGGAGCCAAGTGAGACAAGTAGTAACAATTGGGGACTGGGGGTGAGAATTTTCTTTTTTCTTGAACTAAACTAAAATAAACTATCCACCAATAGAATAAGCCCTGTTTAGTTTAGCAAGAATTATTATTTTAGTAGATTTTGATAAAAATTGATGAAATGTATGGTAGAAAAGTTGTGGATCCCGTTAAATGTGCGGTTGAAAATGATTTTGAAAAAAAAAAAAATTAGAAAAATGAGGCCCAATGGGACTATTGTCTTAAAACAATTTTTTTTTCTTATAAATAAATTTTAATTAAAAAAATTAACTTTTCAAGCTTATACACAGTGTACGTGAAATAAAAAGTATATTTGACCAGTTTTTTTTTTTAAAAGAAAGTTAAGCTTTGCTAAAATATTCAATTTCGGCCGGTTGATTTCTTTAAATTTTGATCATTCAATCTCCATTCATAATTATACAAACTCTCTCTCTCTCTCTCTCTCTCTCTCCCTCCCTCCCTCCTGAATTCCATGGCTGCAAAACATTGCACAGCAAGTTTTGTGGACATGGAATCTAAGAAATGCATTATTCATACACCAACTGTATATGCAAAACAATCACTTCAATTTGCCACTCAAGTAAGTACTTATTTTACATTTTCTAATTATAAGTTGGAAGTAAGTACATAAAATCCAATGGATTAAGGGCTAGCTAACATCTTAGAACTCATAATTGATTATTTTGTGCAGAGACATAATAATCAGTTTTGTTCACTCTCCATGAATGGCTGCCGAGGTGATCCAAGGGCTCCAATTGGAACCATTGAAACTCGAACTTTTCCAGCCGTCCCGAACCTGGCATTGGCTATGGGCAACCTCAATTCCGCGATTTTCGACATGAAATCCAACCCTCCACCATTTGATTCTGGAATTATTCGTCTCGAGGTAATAAAACATACTCCTGAACTAAATTAAATAAGATGATGATTCAATACATTTTCTTGAGCGTGACATGTAATGTGTTAAGAGATTTTTCTAATTAGTATGGGTATATGCCACGTGGTTGGTTGATGGAGGACAAATCATAGAAGCCCAATCTTGTTCCTTATCCTACTCTTATCCCAATTCCCATATAAAAAAAAAATTGATAATTTATTGTAAAGATATATAATTATTAATAGAATAAGAAAGTCTAAACTTGTCGAAATATTTTCAAATGGTGAAATTTTATTAGTTGATGCAAATTACTTTAATTATAATTTCACTTTGATAAAGTGTATTTACATCTCTTAAAAATCGAATGCACTTTTGTGAACTTGTAGAATGAGTATTTTCTTTGAAGAATGAAAATTTAATATGCTTAGAAGTGATTATAAATAGTGAATCTTATGGAACATGGGGATAATAAGTTATTCCTATGAAGTGTATAAATAAAAAGTAGTTTAACTAGTTTAAATTATAATTTAAATGGACATTAATGGATTATGCGTGATATGAGAATTCTTCGAGAAAAAAAGGAAGTGAGTGTATCAAGATAAGTTGTTTAATTGAAGAAGAATAGGCTCCAGATCCGAATACTGAATATCCACACTTGAGATAGCTTACGAGCAATTCAATCAGAGCAAGGATCACGGTCCATTCGCATTCTCTTCCATGTCCGAGAAGGTGCATCAAAGAAAAGTAGTTTGCTTCTCTCCTAGATTGATGGCGATCTATACCGACGATGGCCTATAATCAAAGGCGAATGTTGATCTCTCTGGTTTAGCTCCCTTCTTGCACTATTACTCCCCAATAAAAAGAGCGATTGAAAATCTTGAAAACTTTTTTGAACTTTTGTCTTCGCGTGTGCTAAGTGCTCTAGATAAAAGCCCAACCTTGATTTGCCCAAGTCCAAGTTCATGCAAGGAAATTAGGATGAATTACTTGAAAATTTTGAACAATTCAATTGGACTTTTAGTACCTCTACTTAATTCGATGTCATCTCCTTGTGCATTTCTAATTATGAAACCTTCCACAAAATACTAGCTTATTATAAATTTGAAAAGGTTGAAAATATAATAACATTTATAAGAAGTTGAATTGATGACTAACTTGTCATGCAACGTAATAGGTTGAACACTCATATGCAATTTCCCTAAAAACAAATGATAATTGGTGTTAATTGTACGAACTCTTAAACCAATTGCAACTAGATCACTTTACTTCAATCGACAACAATTGAGACACTTAATTTCAATTCGACAACAGTTGAAGTGCTATGTTAGATTTTCGTCAAAAAACTTAAAGGGTGTTGTTCACTGACATGGCAATCTACATGGACTTATCAAATCAACAAAGATTCAAAACATAAAAGTAAAACAAACCACCCTTACCCAAAAATTCATTGGTTATGCTACATGTAGATAATAGGTTTACTTCAATCGACAACAATTGCAACTATATCACTTTACTTCAATCAACAACAATTGAGTCACTTAACTTCAATTCAACAATAGTTAAAGTGCTACGTTAGATTTTCATCAAACAACTTAAAGGATGTTGATCACTGACATGGCCTTCTACATGGACTTGTCAAATCAACAAAGATTCAAAACATAAAAGTAAAACAACCCACCCTTACCCAAAAATTCACTGGTTATGCTACATGTAGCTAATAGGTTTACATGTACATGATGTTGTGATATATGATTCGATCAAAAAAAATTTAACATAAGAAAAAATAAAAATTTTGACACTCTTTTTTGACACATCATCTGTATGCAAACCATTATATAAATGCTCATGTACAAGTAGCATTATTTAAAAATCCATCCCTCATTAGTCTCACCCGTATTCAATGCCGCCACTACCCCATAGCCACTTCTCCTACACATCGGCACAGCTCTCCCCATCACTATCCCACTAATACAGATGAGGGTTTGCAAAAGTTATTAGAATCATTGGATCGAATAAGAATCAGATTGAAATCGATATGCTCGGTCTGGTTCTACTCTTTATATTTAATGATGGATGTTGCAATGCATCATTGTACTTTTTTAATATTAATTTTACCACAACAAAATCAAACTCATATTCAATTTAATATGGTTTTATTTATAAATTAAAACAAAAGGATATATTGAATTTTATAGATGTAGCTTTACATTATAAGAGCTTGTGTTCCTTTCATCCTTTAAAGTTGACATTTTCAACCCCTCAAAGTATAAAGAAAATAGAAGTGATATTGAAGCATGTGTCTTATAAAATTCATGCAAGTCAATAGTTAAGCTTTTAATGAATGGATTGAGAAGAATTTAGATATTAAACAGTAATATAATTTAAGAACTCGTATAGTTAGAAACTTCAATTGTATAGATTAGTGGATTTGAAAACTTAACACATTGAATTGAATTAGACTGGAACTGAATAGTTCGATTCCATACTTAGAGATTGAACCATGGTTCCATTTTCAAAATAATCTTTGGTACTTGGTTCAATTCAGTTATCTTTAGAATATGACAAATTCAGATCGCATACACTCCTAAATACATATCCACCATCGCAAACTCCCTATAACCACCCGAAACTCAAAATCACTAAAAGTAAACCCATCATTGCAAGACCCCAATTAAAATGTGGGAAAATGTTTCAAATCATGCTTCATTAATTGTAGAGTTCCAATTTCGTATCTAGCATCGCTAATAGATGCTGGTCGGATGTCGGAATGGATTGATTTTGGGAATGTGATGGCGATGGTGGGGCAAGATTATAAGGCAAATAGTTTTTTTTTTTTTTTTTTTTCATTTTAGTTATTTTTTTCAAAAGTAAAGGGTAAACGTGTATTTTTGCTAATAGTGGCTAAATGTGGCCAATGTTGCGTCAAAACATAGTAGTTTTAACATCGGGCTCAACCGCTCAACAACTTCCTTTAGGCTATGTTTGATAGTCAACATTTTCCTTGGAAAATGGAAAAAAAATTCATTTTCCACCCTAAAGCCATGTTTGATAGCTTAAATTTTACATAGAAAAAGTTTTCCCTTCCCTCACCCCGCGCGCCCATTTTCCTTGGTGGGAAAAAGAAATTCTAGGTTCTAGC